CATTGAGGAAATTGACATGTCCATAGACAAGCAAACAACATTGGTCCATTTAAAATGCATGACAGAGAGATACATCAAATGCAGCTTTATTTACTGCTATGCTAATAAATCCAAGAACAAAGGAACATAGAGAAGATAGAATGGTCTGTAGATAAACTCTTTTAACGCTATGTCTACCATACTAAAAGACACGTGCAGGGATGACATGAACTCTTATGTGGTCCATGTAATATGTGATGTTTGTTCAATCCTCTCCAGCGAAGAAAATCATATTCCATTTTGGGTGAAATGTAATCACTGTGTACTCGGCAACCCAATCCACGAAACCAAATCTAATATTAATCCTTCCAAACAGGATCCGCGTGCTGGACCGTATGCTTCAATGTCCAATTATTAGTACCATAGTCTTCAAGGATCTAGATTGAAAGCTTGAAATCATTAGGACCAACAATAGTACATATACGCAAGTGACCCTGAGCTTGATTCATGGAGTGTTGACGACCACTAGGCCTATCAATTTTCCTCTAAGTGTTTCCCTTCATATCCACGACAAGTATCATAGAGTACTCCCCAGAGTGTCCCATAATATGCAGACAACCGTTAAGAAACACACATGGTTGTCTGTAAAATATCACATCAGTATCCTCGCCCCATTCAGATTCCTTATAGATCCATGCTGCAGTTTCAGATGAGTAGATCTCTACACCTACACACAAACCGTCGACATCCACATACTCAATCACATGGAAGTGCGAGGAGGCTGTTGGATCGAACCTCAAGCGAGCCTCACCAACAGAATGGCCAACATCATGGGTGCTAGGCGGCAATATATTAAACTTCTGGGTCATTGGATTGCAGACGACATAGCGGTATCCATCAGCCCCAAGGCACCAGCATAGGATGAGGCCATTGTAGCAATCTAAGACAGCTACATTGTCAGGGTTGAAGGGCAAGAATTCCAAGGAGGGGGGCATACACTAGAGACGCTGGTGAAGTTTCGATTGCCGTTCTCAATGTCATAGAAGAAGCCGGCCATAGTTTGGGGCAGCACCTGACGGTTGTCGGAGATGAGGCGCTTCTAGGAGCGACAGACACATTTATAGGAGAACAAGGAGCGGGTGGGGAGGTGGCGGAGGATCTGCGGAACAACATCCTCTATGAGGCTGGCCAGTGCATTCCTGTTGTTGGGGTCGCCTCAATTTTGAAGAGCCTGCGATCATCATTGTGCAGTAGGATGAGAGCTTCATTAGTAATGAGATCACTAAAGAGGAAAATAATCTAACAAAGATCCATCAGTGAAGTGCGAAAGTATACCCTTGCCTTTGGATCTGGCGGCGGCGCGGCACGAGGCATGCAATGGTTCACACAAATTGCGAGAGGAACAATGCGCCGACCGTTCAGGAGGTGGCTGCGGCGCAGCGCGAGGCGTGCAATGTTCACATAAACTGGGAAAGAGGAACAATGCACCAACCTTAAAGATGGAGAAGTGGAAGTACGGAGTAATATTGGTGATGCAACTGTGTTGTGGGTAGTTGGGAAATGGGGAAATAACTCACGCTGAATTTACTACCACCAGTAGACCAAACGGTCGTGTAGGACCGGCGGCTAGAACGCCTATCCCAGTCGGCTCGGCTTTTCATGCGATGGAGAAAATACCACTGCCGCATGTATTGTTAACTCGTGGGTGGTAGAAGTTCCAACGGCCCGTTTCCTTCCCTACGAGGCCTCCCTATCGATCCAACCGGCGGTGGAAGTATGACACTGTCGCTTCTATCGCTACGGCAATGAAAGTGACGATAGTGAAAGATCAATTTGTAGTAGTGATTTTCTTTTCTGTTATGGGTCATCTAGCTTTTGTAAATGCACCTCTTATTGGTCAGTGGTTTGTTTTTATCTTTTGCATTAGGTGTGTGTGGTGGTTTGCTGTGTCGTTGATACTGTTAGCTTGGGTCTGGGCGTTCTCTTGTAAAGCTGGTAATCCCAGCAGTTACTCTGTTAAAGCTTTCAATAGAAGCTGGGCCAATATGCCTTGGTCTAAAAGATAGGACAATCCTTATTGTGTATTTGGTTTAGGGACATAAAAAAACGGGATAAGGAGGGTGACACTTGCCGGCCTATCACATTTCTTTCCCTTTCTTCAACCTCTATCCAAACAACGGCCGCACCCTACCTCAGACCGAGCTCGCTCATAGTAGTTCCTCAACCTTTGAATTGCTCTTCCTCCCCCACAACTCTTCCTCCTCTCCTCCACCAACGAGCTCAGCCGTGAGGGATGCACTAGTAAATCTGCTTTCTTTTGTAGGAATGAGCTCATCGTGCATATGATGAAAATATATTCTAGGTGGGATGACTCTGCCCTTCATGTCTCTGAACAAAACACCCTCAAAGTGCATGCGCTCCATCTCATCTCACCTCATCTCCAAACCACCACACTATCCTAAGACCATGTCCAACAATTTGGTAGACATGATCTCCATATATATGAGGAAAAACCTCTTTGAGTGCACAGGACGAAGAGACCTTAATTCATAATCATGATCTCCATAAGAGGAACAACATGATTTAGAAACATGTTTTATACGTGTTGTTTTGATTATCCCACTATCACATGAATTTCGAGGAGTTGCACATTTAATAATGTCCCAAATTTCTACACTCCATATGTCATCTGCTACAATATAATGAAGTACCTGCACATGATTTATTCAAAGTTGTTAGTAAGATGTAGGATCTTCCAAAGTAAACAGCCAAACAAAAAAAATGTTATTCACAACCATCACTTTTCCCTAGGCAACTGATGCTAACACAAAAACTTACTTTTGATGAATGTGTAGTTAATTTTGTATATTAGATTTCTAAATATTGTTAACCTTTCGGCCAATAAACCCCCTTGCTCTAAGCACCAAGTACATAAACATACATTCTTAATCTAATAATAAATTATTATCTACAACCAGTGAATGGTTTCTTGTCTGCCAATATATTCTCAAATGCTAAATCCTTCAAAACTAATTTTGAAATAATACAAGTGTTCCAAGAGCTCTTCGACTCTCATGTGTATCAATATGCATAACCCATGGAGCAACATCTTCTATTTTACTATTACTAATTCAAGGCAATTTTTTGGGCCACTACGTTAATCTTCATAAGTGACGAGAAGAGATGCATCTAGAAATTCTCACAAAAAATAGAAAAAACTTGCTATGAGCTCAGGAAACTTGTCATTACCAAAAAATTAATTCAATCTATGCCATTACAATTTCATGATATTCTAATCGTGCCATTACAATGTCATGGGTCGTTGAGACATGCATTCCTTACCCTTTGTTTTTTTTCCACAAAATGTTAGACCAAAATACCCCATCCTTCCCCTCTCCGTCTTCCCTTCTTCATCAAAGGAATGGAGCTCCACTCATCCTTCCCAAACCCTGGACCTCCCCTTCATAGATGACATGGATGTCTTCATTGAGGACCTAGCCGCAGTATGGTTTGTCATTACTGTCATCGATGGGTTCGCCCCTATGGGATGTTAGACCCACCTCAGTGTCTGCAATGCACTGGGCCATCGATGTTCTGATTTTGACCCGATTCGTCCCATGTGTTTTGTTCTAGTGAAATTAGTCTCACATTGGTTATCTAAATAGGTTGGGGATAGTATGTAATTTTTGTAGACAAACGGAGGACAAAAATATTTTAGTTACATGGATGTTGATGAACTTGGAGAACCAAACATCTCCACGGATGCATTCAAAGTCAAAAGAGGGCCTCATGAACACCACTCCAATTGGCTATTTGAGGTTGCTACAACTCAAGGAAAGGTATCATACATGTATTTGGAGTTCTCTGCCGCCCAAGTGAAGATATGCAATATCAAGACAATTAGAACAAGATTAAGGAATTATTGGTAGTTTAAGCCTAGAGTGAATCATGATAGATTATTATCTTAGAGCTGGGATAGATGAGCAATAAACACTTGTTATATTTGGTGTTTGCTAGCACCGAGAAGGTCCAACGTTGTTGTATTGCAAGACCCTCGGTTTGTTTTTTGAATGGGAAATACATCAGGGGAACTCCTATTGTACGATTTTATTAAAAACAAAAACACTGTACAAAAGGAAGTGCGATTACAAAGAACCAACCAGCCCACAGCAGGGAGGAAACAGCAGGCCGAAAAGCCAAGAGGGCCTAAGAAAGAAGATCTAAACAAAGAAGAAAAGTTGCACGTTTGTCATTCCTCATTCTAGAAGCTTGAAGTTAGGCCTCTTCACACAAGAGGTTTTTCCAAGACAAGAAAGAAGGCCGGCCTCTGACAAATCTGAAGTTATTTTTGTGGATCATCTATGAACACAGGAGTAACTTATGCCAAAACAGCTAAGTACTCACATAATGAAGACAATGAGGAGACCCACCAACATGCAGTGAAGTTTTAACAGCAAGTTCACCAAAACCTTCAAAAAGATACAATTAACTCTATGTCATCCTTGGCATCACACACTACCAAAAGACTGAACAGAACCTGAAAAATAGCTTGCACTATGTTTCCATCTGAACAAACCAGAATGCAGAGATATGGGGGGAGTAGTGGTATGGTAGCATTATCATTACATTTTCACAATCAAGCATATGGAAATACATTATTACATGGAGAGACAGAATTATTGTGGATTGATACTAAAAGACATTCTCAGTATATTCAGTCATATCAATAGAACAATAGACTGTTCCTCTTATTTATCATTTTTGTAAGCAACATAAAGTCAAATGTTAATAGCCACAAGATTACATGTACATAAATTTGTCATCATATCACAACTATCACAAGTTAGTGGCATACAGATTGAACCAGACAGTTTGTGATGACATTTCTAACAGTAACAAAACTCAAAAAGAAACATCTTCAGAACTACCAAAAAATACCAATTGTACACTCAGATCCAAAGTGTATGTTTTGCTACAGAATGCTATTTCTGGTTATTGATCTCTTCAAGGTAACATTGAAGCTATTTCACCATGAAAGAACTCTTGCAGCTGCAGCCCCCAACAGCACTAGGATTTGTTGAAACCTGCATATCGTAAAGGCAGGTATAAATCACAACAGAACTCAAGAATAAAGAAGTTCTCAAGTTGTGTTCAACAGCCAAGATAGTTGTGTAGAATGAAACTAACAAAAATAGCATGTATGTAAGTTCAAGGGCCATTTGTCCAGTGGCCCAATACCCTAAACCCACTCCATAGACCATAGCCCATCCACTACCCAGAAAACAAAAACCATGTGAACATACCCAAAAAAGTTCAGGTTTTAAAGCAATGAGAAGTATAACTACATGAAACGTGTGCTGGGGAAAGTGAAAGAGGCAAACATTAAAGCCTAAAAGATAAAACATCTCATTCATTTCAGAACTTCAACATGTTAGACTTCAAGGCTAAAAAATAAGGCTCTGGCGATAGGTATTTAAAGTCTAATTCCAGAACTTTCGTCAACATCTCAACACAAACTATTTCAATGACACTATTTTCAAGTAGAAGCTACCTAGGACTGGGAAAACCACCATCACAATGAACCAAACCATACACTACAGCACGTAGCCATTTTTGTACAGAGGAAATAACTAAGTCTTCATCCTTTCAGCCTTTCTTAAACACAGACAGTCCCAAAAAAAATGTGTATCTGTATCGGTTGCAGTATGGTACGCCTCTGTTGTGAACTGTTCATTTGGGGTCAAAACCACCACGACGACAGCCAGGTGGAGTCAGCTGCTAGGGGAGGGATTAGATTATAGATTTGAAAGGCTTAAATTAAATTGAGCCTCCATTGCTTAATTTCAATGAGGATACAGAGCGTGTTTCTATAGAGCCCGCTGACACAATCCCAGTCTAACCCATAAAATAATTTCACAACTTAATTTAATCATCCTAACTGATCCATTGCCACATGTGTTGCCCATGCACCTCTTCCCTGGCTGGCTGGCTGGCTCATTAGCTCCATTGGCCTTTGTTGACGCCAATAACAGCCATGGATACATATTCATGGATAAGGCCTTGCTCAGAAATGGTTGCATTAGCCCCATGACCACTGTTGTCATGTGGGGCCACCATTACCAGCAAAGGGGCCGCACCAGGGAGTCAGCCAGGGGCGCGAACGCGTCCGCACAGCGCATCGGCGCACGATCACCATGGAGCAGCCAAGGACACGAACGCGTCTGAGCAGCTCAAATCAGCAGCACCGTAGGTGCGCAAGCCGCAGCCAGGATAGCTTTTTATATGATGTATTGCGAATATTTGGAATTCAACAATTAATCAGACAATTTTATTCCCTATCTCCTCTCTCAATCTTACCCCCCCTTAAATAATAGGGCGCCGAGGGGAAAAACCTTGCCCCAATCCTAGTGATCGAGGCTATGACCTTCGTGAGTCATGCGCATGGCGTTCAGATTATCGACCTCGACGCCCTTTCACCCGCATCCGATGGCGTCCAACTCCAACCGGTATCACGATCCAAGCGATCCTCATCAGCCACCACCCCCTTGCGATCAACCCCAATCGCGATCATCGTCCTAAGCGCGACACCAAAGGTGCACGCGCCAAAACATCGCCACCGATGTCCACCATCGCCAGAGCAGCGCATCCGCGACTTCCAACATGTCGGGACCATCACTCCTCGCCGCCGCCACCTCGCCGCCTCATCAACTCCTTGAGCTCATCAATGAGACCGCCTTGCTCTCCGGCAGGTGCCGCATCCACGATGTCTTCCATGTGGGCCTCCTAAGCTTCGGCAACGACGAGCTCATGGCAGGAGCGCTCGCTCCGACATATCCTCGTTCCACAGGTGCATCAAGTGGAAGCCCCCGCGCATCGCACATGGGAAACTTTCTTCTCTTCCCTCCCTATCCCAATTCTGCAGTTCTGAAATGGAGGTCCATCCTCGGAAAAAAAGTGGGAATATGAAATGGAGCGAGGCAATCAAGACAATTGATCTCCTCTCCTCACCTGGGTGAATGGTGGGAGGTTGAACAAGTGAGGGGCCTTGACAGAAACTAACAAAAAAATAGCATGTATGTAAGTTCAAGGGCCAATGGCAAAATTGACAATTAAAAAAGTTCAGGTTCTTTTCCACGATAGCAAATATAAAGCCAACCGTTCATTTCAGAACTTCACATGTAGATTCCTATATAAGGCTCGCGATAGGTATTTAAAGTCTAATTCCAGAACTTTCGTCAACATCTCAACACAAACTATTTCAATGACAATCACCATCACAATGACTTCTACAGCGTTTAAGTACAGAGGAAATAACTAAGCACTATCACACAGACAGTCCCAACTGTATCGGTTGCAGTATGGTACGCCTCTGAGCTACATAGGATGGAGTCAGCTGCTAGGTAATTAATATCTAGACAAGGATTGGATAACCAATGCTTAATTTCAATGAGGATGTTTGCATCCAACACCTAAACTTAATGCAACAATATATAACTAAGGCCATGCACCTTTGGGAGGGCTCCATTGGCCTTTGCGCCAATAACAGCCATGGATGATGGAGCCAGAGCCCCCAGACCACTGAACCATTACCAACACAAATCGTGGCTCCGCACCGCAGATGCAAAAAGCAGCCAAGGACTCTGCTCCTCCATTCACCGTGGTGCGAGAAGTGCTCCTGTATTGCTGCTGCTGCTATCTCCTCTCAATCTTACTTTAAATAATAGGTGCGGCTTTGCCGCTCCGGTGCCTTCGAGCACAGATTATCCGACCTCGCAGCCGGTGCAGGAGCCACCACCAATCAACAGGCCCTAAAATCAGACCACATGTGTGTCGGCCTATATCATCAGGAAAGATAGGCAAGGCCCTTGGCATTAAACTCTGGCTGACTGGACGCCATGTTACCACAAGGCAAGAAAACGCAACACCAATTAAGGAAGAACCTTTAAGAGTAAACATATTTTGATCTACTTGGCCTAGTATGCAGAAAATATATAAACTAAGATACCCTTGATAAAACATTCCAATTAAAGAAATGATAGGGGAGGTTTGCTAAACCATGTTTGTGAAGCCAAAGATCAAACTAACCACAAACGCTGAACGAGCAAGTTCCTCCTCATAATCCACAGTGGCACCTTTCAGACAAAGTCATATGAGATGTCATCCACGCACCAATTTAACACCATCAGTCTCAAAAAAGAACCTACAAGTAAATTATACAATTATTGAGGGAAAAAACTAAGATACCCTTGATAAAAATTCCAATTAAAGAAATGCAGGTCACACTGCAATGCACAATAAATCTCATAGGCTCCACACTGAAAAAAAGTAAATCTAGAAAACTAATCAAAATAAACGGCTCCACACTGAAAAAAATCTAGAAAACATCTGATCTGAGTTTTTCTTGTCATCAAGAGCGAAAGAATATTGGAACCCAGAACATCCACCAGCTTCAACGCTTAAGCGCAGCATCTTACCTTCATCGGATGGTTCTTTAGCATGTAATTCTTTTAATCTCTGCAAAGTGTTAAATTGCTGAGTGCAACATAAACAATAATAAAAGGGACAGTATGAAAGGAATGTTTACTGCAGTTGCTTCCCAGAATATGAACAGCATGTCCTAAGTCAGCTTGGCAACAAGCAAAGAGCATTCCTAATTTGTCTGAAAGTTCCTTGTATAAATGGCAGAGTTCAAATTTAGCAATCCACAACTCATTTCATCATAGTATATCATCACCAATTTATTTCAGTTTCCCAACATGATTCATGTTTCTAGGATACAATTCAGTATGAGTTCAGCATGACCCAAAACAATTTTCTTATGTTGGATTCATTCAGAACTATAAACCCTAAGTATTTCTAGCTTACCCAATCGGAACCAATTTAAGCTAGCACAAAAAAAAAAAAAAACGCATATACTCTATAGGAGGCTAGAGTCTAGTAGGAAGAGGAAACCCTCTCTAAAATTGCCGATTGCTACCACAAAATTAATCCCAACTAAAACAGAAAATAAACTAGAATAGCCTACAGATTTGGAAAAATGCAGCGGAACGACCTACTAGTAGGTAGTAGGAGGGATGTACGTACCCGCACGCAACCCTCCGTCATGCGCACGGCCTGGGCCTCCGCCGGCGACTGCGAAGCCCTCTCGATGGCGGCGGTGGACGAGGAGGCGGATGAGAGCATGCGGTGGTTGTCGCGGACGCGGCCTCTGGCCAGTTCTGCGAGGCGGCGGAGCAGCGGACGCGACGACGACGCCGCCATCGCCGCTGCCGACGCGGCGGCGGGGTAAGCGGTGGCGCGATGAGAAACGAGGGGAATCGGGTTCGGCTTTGGGTCGGATCGGTCTGAGAGAATGAGCAGTGGGGCCCATACGATATGAGGCAGGGCCGTTCCAAACTTGCCTTGCTTTTGCTTTGCTACGGTCGGTTTCGGTATCTGGTGGTGAGTGGTGAGGACAACTGGATTCCGGCAGCTCCACCACGGTTGTAGAACTCCAGAAGCAGTAGGAAATGTATCATGGTTATAAAATAAGTAGCATGCACGGTGAGAGCATCTCAAAAACTATTTATATCTTTTTCTAATATACAAGAATAAAGATTTTAGTGAAAAAATACCCTCCAACGTCCTCTTCAATTGAATATCCAAATATAAATATCCTCTGTTCCGGATTTCTCGGTAGTTAAAGATGTAGAGCAATGATGGCTCTCTAGACTGCGCACAAGTTGTAGAAAAGCTATCGGAGAATATAAAGATTTAGAAAATGACTTTTACTCAAATGACTTTTCAAATGATGATTTAAAGAGTAGATTTTAGAAAGGCTCATAGAGGTACTCTCAGTGCACTAACTTGTTAGGTGGATGCACACAGGTATATCATCTTTCCAATTGCTCATTTAACCGATTGTTTGGATGCGAGGATGAGTAGGGACGGGATGGGACGAACCCAGGCTGTGTTTGGTTGGGAGGCTATCGGGGACGAGGACATCCCACTTAGGTATATTCCCGTCAAATTCGGGCTCACGTTGCCCCTGAAAAAACGACGGACGGGACGTCCCAAGTGGGACGAGCGCTATCAACGCATGCGTGAGGAGACCGTGGCCTAGGCACCGGCGAGGTCTGATGGAGGAGGAGAGGTAGGACTTAGGAGCGTCGGCCGACGGAGAAGGGGAGGAAGAAGCATGCGCGGCCGAACTCACCTGCGCCTGCCCGCGGAGGTGTGGAGGAAGACGAGCGTGATCGGCCTCGTGAGCTCCGACTTCGCCTGGCCCCAGCGCGCGGCCGGTCCCGGTGCGCTCCGTCTCCGCCCCCCGGTACGTGCGGCCGAGCTCAGCCCGACACCGGCGCCCACGCGGCCGGCTCTGTCCCCGGCCCTGGGGCACGCACGGCCGGCTCCGCCCCCGGCCTCGGCGCACGCGTAGCCGGTTCCGCCCCCAGCCCCGGCGCATGGTGGAGGAGGGGCGGAAGATGATTGGCCCATGGCCGAGCGCCGTCGGAGGATGAAGCGCGAGTAAAGTTGGGATAAGAGGAACGAAGGGATAAGGAAGAGGAAGAAAAATAAAAAGAATAAATTTTTTTGACAAGTGGGTCCCACATGTCCCACTTTTGATGTCTCTTACCAAACAGAAAACAGATCCGTCCTGTCTCTCCTCAACCAAACAAAAAAATGAAACCGTCCCGACCCTCAAAACAGAGAAAGGATCATCCCACTCCACCTTATTTCCCAACCAAACACTACCTAAGTTCAAGAACTTAGCAAGTGGGTACAGTTAGATACATGATATGTTTAATTGTCCATCTAAGTTAAAGAACTTGGCGGGTGGGTGAACAATAGGTCATCTTAAAATTTAGACCTTCCACAAATATTGTATCAACTCGACGTAATGATTATGAATTAATAAAATCCTTTATTTTTGAAAAAATAAAAGCATGCTTTAGTGTTTAAGCAGTTTTGTGAGAATCAGATTTTAGCCATGTGTTTAAATAAATCTGTTGATTTCACATTTTAAGTTTTTAACCTACGTTTCGCTTGCTATATTTCTTTTAGGAGGGGCTTGGTCCATTAAAATATAATTAAAAAAAGTAAAAGTTCAACATCACAAGAAAGAGAAACAAAAAGAATAAAAAAGATGAAAGCTAAAAGGCAGATTACAACAGACTTTGGATCCATAATAAGTCAAAAATAGTCGAAAGGCTCATTTGCTCTCAACTTCAGCAAAGAGATTTATTTGTAGAGAAAATTCATTCAATCCTGAACAGAAGGATGAACTCCTTGAAGATTAGATCATTCCTTTTTGTCCAAATTATTAAGCACATTAGAATTATCGTATTCATGAAGGACCATGTGAAGTTACATCAAGGGTACAACAGCGAACTTCACCCCTTCAAGGAGACTGCACCGGCGGACAACTGAGTCCTTAGCGTCATATCATCCGCTGGGCCTCCTAGGAGTAGACCTCGAGGCCCTCGTTCGATAGATCTGACTTGGTTTGGGCATGAACCCCATTGTGACAGAGCGCCGCTAGATGTTCTACATGCTAGCGAACGTCCATCACCAGATCGCCGCCAAAGAGGTGCTATCGTTGTCTCAACGCTTCTGGTATGTCCTCCCAGATCTCCCATATGGGATCCAGAACGCTACGACGTGGAATGTTCAGCGCAAAATGTGCCCTTTGGTTCGTTTGAAGACAATGTTAATCTCAGCACAAGATAGGGGCATGGTTTGCGTTGAACATACTCTCGATCTCCATCATTGTAATCCCTGATTTGGGTACTCCTTAATGCAAAGAACACTACACTGTTAGACTTAGGGCTCATAAGTCCGAACCAGGATAGATCGTCATGTCCCTCTTGTGTTTTTGAGTGCCTGAGCCACCAGAGACCCACATATCGATTTTCGACGAACAACCACGATGCTAGCCATGGTTATATGAACCTTCAACACTAGACTTCTCCTTCTGCCCGAAGAGGCTGCCAAGTAGGCCTAGAGCCCACCACTTTTGTGGGCTTAGGGGAGTCCCTTGTTGATGAGATCATAATATATGGGCATGTTAAACCTCGGGTCTAATGGTTCCTGAACAAAGAAGACCCCCCGACCGACCCCTCTAGGATCTCTCAGGGGCTCGGGGGCAATACCTATCGGGTACGCTCACGCGCACCCTCTGAGAAGAAACCCGACCGAGCCTGACTCCGCTGCGACCTCTGCCAGGGGCTCGGGGGCTTGCCCAAGCCCCTAGACTCCTGATCTACGCCAACACTCCAGTCCGGCCCTTGGCTCTTGCCTAGCAAATGATGCCAGCCAAGGCCTGGGCACCAGAAGATAAGCCCCAAGCTACCAAGGCTTGGGGGCTCCCCGGCGCCGTCCCTTAGGCACGGCATTACCGGCCACTTTCCCGACAAGGTCATGCACGAGGCATGACACAAGTAGACAAAGCTTCCCAGCGGCATCTAGAGGCTCAGGGGCTCCTGGGCCTGTGCATCAGCCCCTGGAGCCGACCTCCTTCACCATTAAGAAGACTCCAGAAGGTCCACTCGAGGGAGGCCGGTCCAAGCCGACATAGCCTGACATGTAGAGTGTCAGAATAGAGCAGCCAGATGACGCCCAAGGCTTCTTTGGCTCCACGACACCACCATGGTCCATAGCGCATCGCTGCAAGGCCTTCCTAGACTCTAGCACATGTAGACCGTAGGCTAGTTCCCCCAAACCACCATGTACCTGACCTATCTCGTTATATAAGGGATAAGGTTAGACCTAGGAGGGGGACGATAAGGAGAACTCAGATCATTCCATTCCTTGGCCTTGGCTCAGCACCGAGAGCAAGGCAACCAATAGAGGGGCACCGAGAGCTCCTCCACCGCATCCCGTCGTCTTCCTCCTCTCAAACAAGGAGAAGGCTCCACCGGCGGTGAGGCAACCTTAGGATTAGCAGCGAGCTAACCCCCTACCAAATCTCTCTATAACCCTATTGTAACCCCCCGATTTTGGGTGCTTCTGAGTATAAGGATCATCAGTTGCTAGATATAGGGCACCGATTGGCCCGAACTAGGATAAACCATTGCGTCCTCTCTATGATTTTTGTGTTCTTGAGTCCACCCGAGCCACTGAAGACCTATACTCTAACACCGACTCGAACAACATGCTTGCTTTGTTTCGGACCCCACGACAGTTGGCGTGCCAGGTAGGGGGCAGTGTCAAGTGCAATTCTAGTTCTACGGTGGTTGGAGCCACCCACCTCGTCGTCGGAGCAAGCAACACTGCCCTAGATGGCGATGTCCGCTTCCTCGACGAGCTCTCCACCACGGTCGGAGCACTCCTTGATGTAGGAGCCCTCACATGGAGAGGGGCCACATGGCGAGGGGATCGGCACGCTAATTCCGCAAACAGCTAAGTTCGCCGACCGACAAGCTTTTTCCATATGTTCTTCACCTCTCAAATCGCCATTGAGGAATGCGCCCACCCTACTCAAATCAATCTGCTTTTGGGCCATGATCCTCCTCGCCCCGATCTCGCGGTCGGGGAGCAAAGCCGCCCTGTCCTCCCTCTCCTAACCACTGAACAGGATAAGCTAACGCCCTAACACCACATGGGCACGACCCAGGCTAACGGAGCTAACGACTGACGACCACCGGGCTCAGAAAGGGGGAAACAGGCGCCAAGGACGCTCCCCAACAAAACGAACAGAGCGTAGAGTGGGAGCAACAATGAAAAAGCACGAAGATTTGACTGGTGGGCACACCCTCAGTGTCACAATTGTTTGAAGGGGGACTGAAGCCTCAAAATTACAACAGCAGGTTTTACAGCCTAATCCTTGTGCAGGTCACGGGGACACCGGAGGGTCTGCGGGCGCATCCTCCTCTTCTGGATACTCGTCGACCAGCAGCAGCCTGTTGTCAATGATGCCCACCTCAGCAGCGACCAAGGGCGCCATCGTGCTCTCGGCCACCTCCAACTCCTTATCATAGGTCTCCTTGGGCACGTCCAGGGCCACTACCCCTAAATCAACCTACAGGAGCTGAAGCTTCATCAAGGACAGGGCCATGGCGGCCCCTTGGTGGACCGTGCTCCTGATGACTCATAGGACATGCACCACAAGGGAGCGCACCCTTCCGGCAAGGTCATGCTCTTCCTCCATGGCCGGCGGGGGGAGCAGGGCATCGCACGCCTCCAGCGCACCGGCGTTGAGCCCCTACAGCTCCGCCTGTGCTGCGTCCAGCTCCTGCTCATGCTCTGCCAGGGCGGTCTGGCCATTCATCGACCCCTTCGCC